TCTCTTTTCTTTTTTTCCCCCTCGTATTCCTTGCAATCATATCCATCATGTCCTCAAGGTCCACCACCAAGGAGGCACACCCAATAACAAAATAAATCCCCACCCACTCCAAACACACAACAACAACAACAACATTGTCAATCAAGTAGCCCAATTATCCAACAACGACAGAACACATTAACACAGCATTGGAATTCCTTACACCAACGTCTCTTTAAAGGCATCAAGGGAGACAACCAACAACAGACAACCAAATTCTTGAGTGGACACCGACCCTCTGCACAAGAATCCATTATATTCAAATTCAGTAACTTTGTGGATTGAGTACCACCTGTGCGGTGAGAGAGCATTATGAAATATCTCAACACTTCCCTGGGTTGTATTGCAGTGCTTTGTAGCGTGGATACCATTCTCCACACTAATGTCTCCCTCAGACACCCAGTTGTTGTTTTTTCAAATATTTATCCTTGATAACCATTCAAAAAGATGTGTCCTTCCTCTCACAAAGTCCATTGCATGGTCGAACACCATTTAAACGAGGCAATAGATCACAAGGAATGCTCTGTTTAAATATAGTCATAACCCCAGAAACTTGACAAAAACAATGCCTACCACACGGGTAAATCACGTTTTTTTTTCTTTTTTTTACCTTTGGTTATCGCAGTATTTACCCTCTGGTACCTCCCATTATCAGGAATATCTCGTGGGATTTTCTACTTGCGCACAACGCCATGCTGGATCAAGATTGCGTAAACGAGATGCTTAGCACACGACTTCTTTTGGTTAGGTGCTCTCCTTTGGGTGAGGAATAATGTACCTGTTATCATCCATCTCGTAAAATTCCCGAAGCAATGGGAGCAAGATTCATTTCTAAACAGTTATCCCCTTACCGCAAATGAAGAGTGTAACCCAAGGGGGTAGGTTTAGAGGGCAGTGCAATCGTCTGGGTGAGCCCCCAAGTGTGCAACGGATGCGTCTGCAAAAATGCATTCATTCTCTCTTTTTGTTTTATTTTATCGGAAACAAATGGGCGCCAGAGACCCCCACTTTAAATTTTGAACTCGTATACAGTGCCTTCATCAAGTAGGGAAAAGAACGAGATGAGGTGTGACACAATATAGAATGTAGATAGAGAATCGGTTAGACTGTTTGAATGGAGTCATTTTTTTTTTTTTTGTGTGTGTGTGTGCGTGTGTTTGATGGACGACCCCCTCCATTTGGTAGGGTTCAATGATATACATGATTTCGATACTTATTCTACCCTTTACATTTAGGAATCAAAAAAAAAGTCATCTTTCACCAAAGATTGTCCTTATATATAGTTGAAATGTTGACACAGCATCTTGAGCCAGAATGTGGGGTCCGTTATATTCTAGACCCCAAGGTACAACGCCATTCGAGAGTGTTCTTCCCAAAGGAATATAAGAAGGTTTCAATAAATTTACACGACGTTATGACTGCCTAGGTCCCTGCATGGGCACTTACGAGCGTCAGAAAAAAAAAAAAAAGAGGATGTATTTACTGCAAGCTTCCCAATACAAAAACTTATCAAGTCCGCATTTCCATCAAACAAATACAATTTTATCATATAATTTGTATCTTACAAGCATCAAGGAAGAATTTTATGTCCTGGGAACATGCATTAACAATGCAACAATAGTCATTTACACCCTTCACCATTAATAATAATAAAATATAAATCTCTTTCCATTAAGAGGAGAAAAACGAACAAAAGAAAAGAAATTTTTTTTTTTGGTTCAAAAAAAGATGTATAATTGTGGAATTCAAGACCCCCTCCCCCTTCACATTAACTCACTCAAAGAAAGACAAAAAAACATCCTTACGTTTACCATTAGAATGACACAGTTGTGTCTGATTGTCCTTGTTAGTCATTTTTCTGGTTTCTTATATCACTCTCGTTTTCAAGAAACAAATTCTGGAACCTGCTGGGATCTTAGCATCCTGGAGAAACAAGAGTCAGGTTCACTGCAAGACAACTCCTCCCAGCTTCCAGACTGCACAATTCTGCCATCGCTAAGAACAACAATATGGTCTGCATCTCTTAACGTTGCAAGACGATGGGCGACGACTACAAAGGTAGCGTCCCGAGGGGTGCTACTTTTTCGATTTAACCCAAGATCATTAAATATCTTTTCCTCCGTCATCATATCGAGAGCGTTTGTCGCCTCGTCAAAAACATAAACGCCCACCCCTGTTTTTCTTTTCATCATAGCACGAGCAATACAAAGACGTTCCAACTCCCCTCCACTATATTCATGACACCGCAAAGGTGCGTAAATACCGGATGATCGTTTCTCCACAAAGGAGAGTGCTTCTGCCGAAGAGAGAGCAAAATTAATATCCTCCTCATTGGATGCCCAAAGATTTCCAAGTGCCATATTGTTTGCGATCGAACAACCATCAAAAAATCGGAGATTTTCTCCTTCTTGCCACACACTGGCAATCCTTCGACGTAACATTCGAACCGGATAGCAGCTGATATGGAATCCGTTAATAAATATTTCTCCAGACGTAGGAGCATATGTTAAATTTAATAATCGTAGAATCGTCGTCTTTCCCGCTCCACTGTATCCAACAATGCCAAGAAATTCTCCCTTGCTAACAGAGAATGAGACGTGAGACAATATATATGGGTGATTCTCACTATAACGAAATGACACATCACGAAACTCAATACTCCAGGGACCTTCAATAGGTGGAACAGGAGTTGTAATTGGTCGATCAATCTTCTGCATTCTCTGCAATCCTTCTAATACTTGATAGCAACCTAATGAACCACCTCCCATGGTTAATTTTCGTTGCGTGCATGCTAGATCAATCTGACCCTCACTGAGACCGTTTTCCTCATAGAAAAATCCAGCAGGGTTTAAAAAAAGAGGAAATAGATACTGGATAAACTCCAAATGCGATAAAGTATTATTCTGCTCAAGTGGACTTTGTTCAAGATATTCTTGATGAGCATAGAGTGTTGAAGAAGAGGCGAGAAGTAACGGTATCGCATTCGCTGTTCTAAATATTCCACTAAGAATATCACGAAGAAAATTTTCCCACATATCATTTCTTGAGCCAGGATCATCATTAACAACTGACATGGCTGCAGCCAGTTCAACACCTGCATATCTGAAAGTAGTGAATCCCTTAACGTATTCCCTTTTAGAATGATAACTAAACGTAGAGTGAGAAGTTACCTTGTTCATCGATATTATGTTTTTTAGAATTGTTTTTAACCACTGAACTTTTTCAACTCCCACGAACGTCATATTATGGTATCGTGCAAGACCCTCTAGTGTTTGCATAATGTGTTCAGCGAATACTATAGGGGAGAAAGGCCAAGAAATGTGTTGAATCAAGAGAATCCATGGTTGCTCTAATACCACCTTTGACTCTAGAGATATGAGGGTCAAAAGCACTAAACCATGCTGTGCTTGTGCATTTTGGTGAAAAGTATTTGGCAACAGAATGGAACGGGAAGAAATTGATTCTGAAACAGTTTTCTTCTTTATTTTAACAACATCTGTTTTCATAAGTAAACGAATAGGTGAGGGTAAAACCAATTGATCATTATGCAAATATTCCTTATTGTTATCACTTTTATTCCCGGTTTTCTTAAATGATTTTTTTCCAAAATAAAATAAACTCTTGGCGTATTGTAACTCAAGATAGAGTGATTCACTTATTAAAGTGACATAATCACTCCATTGAGTTCCGAACCACATAGCAACTGCCATTATAGGAAATCGAACAACAACCCAGAAACTGGAAACTATCTCCAGTAATTGGTGTACTTGATTCTGTAGTTCCCCCATAACAGAACTCGATACATGCCAAAGCGCGTTAGAAATATGAAATGATAGAGGCCAATTGTCACTAGGATCATAATCAACAGTAGCGAGAGCCAAATAAGCACTAAGCTGAAAAGACATTACAAGTTCTATCATAATGTAGTTCATGATAAAATTACGAACGGTGTAAAGAAATTCATCTAATCCAACTGAAGCAATTGCAATTGTGGCAAGACGTCCTGTAGATCCCCTAATCTGTTCTTTCAGAAAATGAAAAAAGGAATTCGTTTTTGACACATCAACATTGGGCAAATTCCCCATTTCTGCAACATAAAGTTGGGTCCAATTCACTCCATTTTCAAGCCCAAATACTCCTTTGAGAATTGTATCAGGTGAAAGTAAAAATACAGAAGCCAAGAACAGCAAACGCCGCATAGAATAGGAGCTACAAAGAAGTTTAAGAAAGGAAATAATTCCTAAAAAAGTCGATCGCTCTTTATAATAGGTCCCCTTTAAAGATTGAAAAGGTTCCTCAGGAAAATCTTGTATCACTAACGTACTACACTGATGGATCCCCATTAACCCATATATGGAGTACTTACCACGAAGCAGGATACAAAGTGATAGTAGCTCTTCCACTTGTGCTTGATCTATCAAAGGCATATCATGATCCTTTAAATGTCCACGTAGATTGTGTTCCACCAATGACATTAAGCAATTCCACATATCACACACAAGTAGCTTGTTAGGATGTTTATTCCTCGCTAAACCACAATAAACCTCAAAGATTTCTTTAATCCCCATTTTCTCATCATCAAACACTAAAGCCGGCACACGCAATAACTTTGCGTTATTCCAGTTAAGAATAACCTCCACGCATGCACCCCCTTGACGCATGAGAGTGTCATTGTCATCAATCCTCGTAGTATTATTATTATTATCAGTAGCAACATCGCCAGTAAAAGTAGCGGTTCTTGTCAAAATGCCAAGGATCTCGTATGACCGCTCCTCAGAGGAAAAAAGAACTACTACTCTCAATTTCTTTCTCAGAAACGTTCTTGCCAAAAGGACAGCAGCGGCACCACAAACAGATATTACAAACGGAGTCATTACCGCAGTATAAACCCTGGAACGCAAGGAACCCATGACGGCAATCTACTACACGCTTAATGATAATAGGAAAGCAAAGAAAAAAATAAAAAAAGTTATCTGCACACTTTTTTAAAAATATAATAGACAAACGAAAAGAATATAACGGAAAAAAAAACCCAACAAGAAATAAATAAATAAAAAAAAAAACTCACATTACACTCCCAACACGAAAAAGAGAGGGAAAAGGTATAAAAAGAAAAACATGGTTGGAGAAGTAATACAAATGGAAATCCATAAAAACAAATGCACAACCAATTACTCTATTTGTTGTGTCGTTGCCACTCACTCAAGATTTTGGTTTCACAAAAAAAAAAAAAAAAAATCTTGATTAAACACGGTGAGTGCAACGTCTCTAAAGTCGATGTAACCCTGTATTTGTAACTTGTCGTTGTCTAGTTGGCAGTATTGGCTGCACATTAGGAGGAAAACTCAATGGTGAGTTTGGAACCACCCTTGCAACGGGGAGAAAAGCATCTAAAGGTCTCGAACGAAGTGGAATCATTGGAGAATCAAGGGAAGGTAGCGCAGATAAACGTCTCCTCCCAGCATCCATTGCACTCCCTGGTGGGAAGAATAATGGAGGTTCGTTGAAGCCAGTCAACGAAAAAGCATGAACGGGATGCTGGGCCACAGTTGGTTGAGGTGGAGTGACAACTGTTGTATGTGTGGGTGTAGCCTCTGGTACTGGTATAGGCATCGGTTTAGGTTTAGGTGTAGGTGCAGCAATTGGGATAACCTCTTTCTGCACATCAGGCACTTGAACATTCACCTGCTTTTTCCTTAGCGACTTTTCACGAGGTGTTTCAGATTTCGCTTTCTTTTCTTTAACTGTTTTTGTTATTTCCTTTTTCGACGGATGTGGTTCCTGTGTTATTTCATTAACTATTGCGAAAGCTTCCTCAGTTCTATTTGTCATCACGTCATTGACAATGGTATCCTCTGTTGTTGTCACGAGAAGAGTTTCTTTTGCCTCCTTTAACTCTCTCACCCGTTGTTTTGCACGTTTAGGTTCGTGCTTTACAGCTTGAGATTCCATGGTAACTTCATTTTTGATGGTCGTGGCTAGATCAGGACTATCACCTGTTGCATCATGATCCTCTCTACTGTCAGGGATGGTCACTTTTGACTCATTAAGTTCCTGTGTCTTTTTTTCTGCCAGTAATTTCAATTCATCGTCACGTTTTCTCTTCAAATCTTCAATCATTTGAAAGAAGTTTCTCTCAGCTTCAAGTTCCCCTTCCCTTTGTAGTGCGTTGTCCTTTCGTAAGGTGATTCGTGGTTTCGGGGATGAAGATTTCTTGGGTACGGTGTGGGGGACCACTACCGGGCCCGTCTCTGCTGATAGGGATTCTTGGGTCTTTTCTTTCATTATCTTTAACTCTTCGCTGGCTTTCGCTTTGTTAGCCTCGTATTGAAGCAGTAAACTTGTTTCCTTCTTTTTCTCTTTGCGCAGGGCCCGGTTTAATGCCTCTGTAATAATCTTTTTTCGCCGCATCCGGCCCTCCGCTATCTTCGCCAGGAAGATTCGTTCTGCCTCATTTTCTCGCTTTCTCTGCAGTTTAGTGATTTCTTGCGTCGTGTATGCACCTTTTGATTTCACTACCGGTGCACGCTTCTTCACAGCGACAACTCTCTTAAAAAGAATAACTGTCCGAAGCATCGCACACGAATCCGAATTCACTGGGAGTCGCAGAGATTAAAGCAGAGAGGGGGAGAAACGCGACCAGCCTCCACAGCTTCAAGATTCAACGAGAAGTGAGAAGCAGTATAAACAAAAACAAAAAAAAAAAAGAGTGATAAGGAAAAGAGAAATAAACTCAAACAGGTAGAAAAAATGGGGAACATAAAGCCAGTCAAAATAAAACAATAAAAAGAAAGAAGTGTAATGGCGTAGTGACTCGTGACCTATTTATTTTTCCTAATGATTAGTAAAAAAAAAAAAAAGATAACATGAAATAGTGACCTCGTTTTTTTTTTTTCTTTTTTTGTTCATTTACGCTGCCCGTCAAAGTAAATAATGAAAATAAAATGGACGACTTCTGTCATCCACTTTCATAAAAAAAAAAAACCCATGTGAGCTCTATAAAGGGTATCTTATTGATAACCCTGTTGCCCTATTACTTGCGCTTCATAAGCTTTGTGCTCTTCGCCTTTGTATTTGTGTTAACCTTCAGTGGTTTCTTTGGCTTTGAGGTCTTGGTCTTCTTTAGCTTCATCGGCGACGATGCGCCAAGTTTGGGCAGCTTTGCCTTTACCTTGTCATTTCCTTTTGCCTTTGCCTTTGGCTTCTCTTGTGGCTTTGTCAGCTTCTTTCCCGTTGACTTTGGTTTCACCGCCGTCTTCGCCTTGGGCTTTACCGCCGGAGGGAGATCGAGCGATGGCATCCTCGGTGGCTCCACGACGAGCGGCGGGGCGACGGGGGCGTTGAGAATCGACACGGGTGCTGCAGTTGTTGTTGCAGCTGCGGCCTTGGCTGCAGGTGTCACCTTCAACGGACGAGCGACCTTCATGGCCGGTGTTCCTTTGCGCACACTTGCGCGTGCCATGGAACGGAAAGTCATACGGAACATGTTTGGCAATTAATCTGGGTCTGGCTGTTTTTTCTTGCTGTTGGGCTATTACTCTAGTTTGTTACCGTGGACGTACGTGACGGAATAACTGTACGCGTACGTGTAATGGAGAGGGGGTGTAAATGTATGTAGATAGGTGTGGGTGAGTTGCGTACGTGAATTACGGTTATTATTCGTCACGAAACGAACACAGCGCCGGGAGACTACGGTACATGCATATATGAATAAATAATAAGTAACAAAAATAAAAGGAGAAAAAAAAAGAAAATAGGTCTTTACTTTAGAATAGTGATAGCAAGATATTTTTTTTCATTTTTCTTTTTTCTTTTTTACGGAACGCATCAATACGACAAGTAAGAAACTCATACCCCCATTAAAGGGTGCAAGGAAACCTAAAAGAAAAAGAAGAATGAAAAAAAAAGCTGAAATGAATAGACAAGGAAAGAGACGTCTACCACGTGGGGTCCTTGTTGCCAGTCTTCTTCTTGTCGTTCAGCTCAAAGTGCTTCGTGCGCTTCAGAACGTTCTGAATAATCGACTTGCAACTAGAGCACTGGAGCTTCAGGACAATCTTCTTAGTGGTCTTTGCTTTCTTGTGGAAAATGGGCTTTGTCTGACCACCATAACCAGACTGTTTGCGGTCGTAACGGCGCTTACCGCGGGCGTAGAGACGTGCTTTGCCTGCTTTGTACTGCACAACTTTAAAGCTCTTATGAGCGTTGCAGCGCTCATCAGGGCAGTGCATTGTCTTCTTCTTCGGGTAGTTCACCATCGTGCGTGTGTCTGTGCACTCCTGCCTTAAACAGAAAACAAAAGAAAAAAAGAAAAGAAAAGAAAAAAAAAAAGAAAAAAGGAAAATCCATTTGAAAACTTATAACAAGTGTTAGTACCTTTGTGTTTTGGCTGATTTGCCTAACTCGGATTCGGAACGAAAAGTTTTCCTTACCTTTTCTCAGGAAAGTTGATAACCAAGAAATATATAGTAAGAAATGGAAAAGCACACCAGTACTAGAAATAATAACGGTTATGCCCTCATCTAAGCATACTCATCATTGGCAGCAGCTGCTGTTTGTTCGCGACAGTCATACGCATAAAAATTGCGGTAGCTAAGGAGAATTGGGAGAACAGTGGCTTGGTGCCCAGAGCGCGCAATATCATCCAACTCAACCCACTCATGCCACTTTGGGTTAATCATATCTATCACCTCAGAGAGAATCGACTGTGCAGAGATGTCTGCCATGAGACCATTCACAATAAGCTCGTTAGCGATTTCCTTGCAAAAGCATCGTAGTGTTTCAACTGTTACAAACGACTTTGTCTCTTCTAGATCCAGAATACTCCAGATGTACTTAAGCGCAGGTAAAGTAGAAGCGTGCTCTGTAGCAATAACAAAATCTAAATAAGTCTTGTAATCCATTATATGGCGATTACCACTCTGTGGGACGTGACATTCAAAAACCCTTTCAATCACCAGCCGCGTGAAACTACCATCACTGTATCGCGAAAGTTCATCTAGCGTCAGAACACCGTCACCATCAAGATCTAAACTTGTGAAATGTTCGTAAATGCGTCCCATAAGGGCTAGAGAGAACCAGTTATCCATACTAAGTACATCTGGAGTAAGAAATTCCATTGAACCAGAGTTCCAGTAAATTTGACTACGGTGAATATTCAAAACAACATCCTCTGTTAATGTTTTCACCGTATACATATCATCTGGGTCATTACCATCACCTTCGTATGAGAGTACAATTGCTGGAACAGTATCATCATCAGCAGCATCTGGTGATACAAGCTTTGCTGTAACATCTACAGTACATCCAACTTGAAATGTTGTGATGGCATCGTGCGCATCACTCTCAAATATGCGGAGTAATTCTGAAAACACATCACTCTTCATCATACTGTCAATAGATATTGCTCCTGTACGTCTTGTATCGCACATAAACATAAATTTTCTAGAAGCGTGACAGAGGTAATATGGCTGCATCCATGGTGGCATATCTCGCACAAGACGAAGATTTGGCACCAGTTCATATAAAAAACTTTCTATGTCTTCCTGTGTGAGACCATTGGAGAGAGGTGATGAGGCACTCGGTGGACACAACAATCGGCTCGCAACTCTTGTAGTTGGATCCTGTAATGAGGGTGACGGCACTCCGGCAACAAGCTCAAGTTCAATTCGGAGTCTATAGAGCAAAAGACGCTTGGCCGCAAAGGCGTACAACGGGACGGCAGGAACTGTCCCATCCTCTGCACGCGAAAAAGCAAGGAATGTGGCTGGAGACAAAAAAGGATGGTTAAAGTACAGATGTTTGCGTGTATCACGCTCTTTTGATGGTGCTGATTCCTCCTCTTCAGGAGACAAACGAAAGATTAGGCTGTACACCATGTTCCTATAACCACTATAAGACAATCGCAGCTCGTCGTATGACTCTACTGAGTCGCCGCTCTCGTCACCGCGTCGCTCCCTGTACTTCACGATGTTATTCCACAACTCCGCCGGGTTGGTGTTCGCGTACAACTGTGCAACGTGGGCCGCAAGGAACTGTCGCCGGGCCTCACACACCGCCTGCACCGCCGACCTCTCGGAGGGTGGCACAGTGACGGGAATCGACAACATTTAGACTACAACAAAAAAAAAAAACCTCAAAGTAAGAGCATATAAATATGGGAACAAAAATAAAAATAAAAATAAAAAAACGAAAATAATGGGTCAAATTAAAAAAGAAAAAAACAAACAAACTAGAAAAAAAAAATAATTAACAGAGTGCATTTACTAGCCCCTCTACCTGGGATTTGGCTATAGAACTCAACTCTGAAAGTAGTCCATGAATACAACACTCTCAATGAAAGTTAAGATCTGCAAGTTCTACAATTACCGCACTCTCGGCATGATTCACGATCTCTAAAATTTTTGTATCCACATTCACAAACCCAGAGTGATGGATCATTTGCGCTTTCTGACAAAGGAGAGACTGTCTTACAATTTTTACACTTTACCCGGGATGCAAAATTAATAAAACCACATTGATCGCATTTCCAGTCGTTTGGACGTGTAGTTGAAGAGGATGTTTGTGAAGAAGAAGGCTGTGAAGAGGCTGGTTTTGAGGTACTTGACGACACCTCGTAAACAGCGCCACAAACCTCACACGATTTGGCATTGTTTAAGTTAACGGTGTGGCATGTCAAGCACGTCCAAGGCGGGGTTCTCACACCCTTGTTATTGTTGACTGTGACAGTGGTGGCACTGGTGTCTTCGCCAATTCCTGATGAATTGGGGGTAATGGTTGGTTTACAACTACATTGCAGACACTCTTTTCTACCTCGAAAATTGTGCGTATTGCACTTTTCGCAAATCCAATCCCCTGGGACTATCTTTCCGCTTACTCCTCCTCCTCCTCCTCCTCCTATGGACTTTTCCCTGTTGCCTCCAGGGCGTCCTGCACCGCAGGTAAGACACATTTCACGTCGCGCAAAGTTGTGAGTTCCACAGGTACAAACCCAATCGCCTTTCTTAAACTCAACGTGCTGCACGTCCGCTGAGCGTGTGTCATCCACACCGCGGTGATGCGTCGGCCGCACACGGTGACATTGAAAACACATGGTGCGAGAGGCGAAGTTAGAGAAACCGCAAGTGCACTTCCAATCACCCGACATACGTGCGAACAATGACCGCGCTGTCGTCCGGTGCAAATGCCTGCGCTGGCCCATGCACACCGCTGTCATCGCCACCGTACGTCGAAGACAGCTAAACATCTGCAGGAAACTATACCCACCTTTCAGGTTGCAACCCATACAACGAATAGACAACAACACAAGATAAAAATATAAAATGAACAACAACAACTACTACTACAACAAGGAACCACAAACAAAAGTAACAGACACAATGAAAATATAGTAACAAAAAAAAAGGTTACTGTATCAATATCACGCAGACAGTAATTCAGAGAAAAAAAAAAGTTTCTTCCTATCAGTCATACCTCCTTCTATTCATATACACGGAAAGAAAAATAGCTATTGGTTTTTTTTGTATGCAAAAAAAAAAAAAACCAAAACAATACCTTTCATTCTTTCTTTTTTTTTTTGTTTTGGTTTTTCTTCTATTCCTTTTCATCTCGTTGTTAAGCATGATCTCATTATTTAAGCCCATTCGTCGTCATCGATGCCAGCAGCATCATTGCTATTGGTTTGGGGGTCCCCTGGCGTACCCTCCACATCGGCTTCTCGTGCCAAAGAAGGGGGTGGAGCAGCAAGTAATTCGCCAGGTGAATTCATACTTGTAGCAGATACCGTCTGGTGCACGTTAACAGGTGAATTCATTCCGTCATTAGCAGAGAGGACTGCAGATGGCTTTGTTGGTTGCGGAGACTCCAGGAAAGCAGCTGCGGCATCAACCTCTTCCTGTTTTTTTCCGGTAGTTTTTTCCTCTAGCCGTTGTTGTTGTTGTTGATGGTGGTGTTCATCCTGCTCTGTTTCTTCATGCTGTCTTACCCCTTGATGTCCCTCAGTGTGACCTCGCAGTGGAGTATGTTCCATTGTTGATGAAGTGACTGTTGTAGTCGTTGTTGCTGGCGTTGCTGATGCTGCTACCGCTAATTCTCGCATATTTGGGAATAGATTCGGATATGCTGCCGGGTTTGCGATAGCCTCACGTACACGTGGCAGATTGGCAAGAGCAACTTTCCACTTTGCCACAACCTCTTCCACTTTGCTATGGCAGTATGTACGGGCGTAGAATGCAGCTTCGCCAACCTGACCGGCACGGCACAGCAACTCCACATTATCAGCGTACCTTCCCGATAGATGGAAACATGTGAACGCGATATTTCCCTTCCCGTTTGAAACGCATACGTCACCAAGCTTTGATATTGCGTTCACATCACCCATACAAGAGTACAATAGTAGTAAACCACTGCTATCGCTGCAATTAAGAAGCGCTTCCTCTGCCAGTTTTAGCATACCCTTCTCCAGTGCCAAGTCAGCAACCTGTTTCCAACGTCCCATCGTTGGGCACTGTTCAGCAATTTCTTTTGCAAGCGACAATCTACCTAATCGCACTGCCAGATCAAAACGATGTTCTTCCTCTGTGGTGACTTCTAAAGCTCTCTCAAGATAATTTTTAGCCTGTAAAAATTGTGCAAGTCGCAGTCTTTCACTCATATCGATAGATGGTAGAAGCTCATCGGCGGCGGCAAAATCTTCACGGACAATAGCACTCATATATTCAATAACATTAGCACGTAGAGTATAGCTTGTAATATTCTTTTCTTTATCAATACACAAAATTCGATTTTCTTTTGGTAAATATCCCAGAAGGTATTGATTCCGTGACAAAACACCAATGTTATTTGTCTCACCACCAATATAATAATTCAGACGATGCGCCTGGTTAACAAATACAAGACATTCACCGACCCACAAAACCTCTTTCACACTTTCTCCCACTTCCTCTACAATTTCAAAGGCAAAGTCGAGACCTTCTTCTGGTGTACCATCATGTGTTTCAAGGTATTCTACCACTGCTTCACTATTAAAACGAAGCGTAAAAAATGCTGTTGTGGAAACTATGGCAAGCATTTCACCATTGTCACTCCACTGCACCATCTTTGGACATTCATCAATTTGCCGGATAAAGCTTAACGTTGCCCAATCGTAAAAAGTAATACTGGAAGATGTGCAGATACCAAAAAGAGGACCACCAAATAGTTTCTCTGCAGTCTCATTAAGATTTATAGTGGTGCGTTCTTTAAAGTTTTTGTAGACTTTTAGTGTCATGGCAGTCTCCAAAACGGCAAAAGAGCCATTTTCAGGGCCCCATACAAAAGAAATACATTTACCATATGACTTAGGTCTCATAGAGAGTGAAGAAAGAATTGTGTAGTCATTCTCTCCAAGAACAGCGATAAACTGTCCACTTGGTCCATGCAAAATAGCAGAAGGTGACATCTCAAGAGCACCCATATCTTTCGTCGGAAGAGTTAGAACATCACCATCAGCCATATCTGCAGGAATACCTTTTGCATCAATACGAGTAACTTCATTACCAACAACCACAAGGATCTTTCCACTAGGGTCCATTGAATACACAGGTCTGTCTTCGCCCACCTTGTACAGAACTGTACCACCATCATAACCAACCACCAAAACGTTTGCATAACGCTTTGCCGCCATTGACCACCCGCGATTCATGCGAGAATGATCCACGCTAAGCAAAAGTCGTTGCGTGTCAGATGCAATAATTTTCATCTCCATATCTTCCGCTAATGTAAAAAGCAGAGGTTGGCTTGGGTGAAATAATACAGCCGTAACGTTTGCCGTATGGTGGGTAAAAACCTGTAAGCATGCTCTCGTTTGATAGTCCCAAAGACGTACAGTTTGGTCATCAGCGCCACTGAGAAGGTATGGCTTATCACCACCAGGATAATAATCCACGCAATTCACACCATCCTCATGTCCCTCAAGCTGAAAGTTCGGTACTGGACTGTTTATACTCCATACCTTTACTGTACAGTCTAACGAGGCTGTCGCGAAGGTCGATGGATCCTTTGGGTTAAAAGCAATAGCCATAACATAATGTAAATGACCCTCATGAGTATTTACAAGCGCCCAGTTTTTGCTCCAATCCCATTCTCGTATCGTCATATCATCAGAGCATGTCAAAACAATTGGTAAATGTTCATGTACTGCGATGCCTCGGATGTAATCATCATGTGCTTGAAATGTTTTGGTTTTCTCCATTGTATTGTAGTTGAAGAGGCGAAGCATCATGTCATCAGTACCACAAACAAACGACTGAAGGCGTGGGATGAAACGTACACAACGCACTGGTAATCCTGTACCAGTGTCAAATGACTTGAGGAGCACTTGGGTTTCAAGATTCCACAGGTTAATCAACCCAGAGTATAGAGAACAAAGAAATAATGGCTCCTTTGGATGCATTTCCACCATTTTCACCCTATCGCTGGGTGCCACCATCAGTGTTGCAGGTACTGCCATGGCTTTTCCTGTCATATTGGAATCTTCTTTAAAATATTCCTAGGGTTTTTTCTTACTTTTTCTTTTTATTTTCTCTCACTATAAGCCGTCAAAAGAAGAAGTAGAAAATAAAATAAAAAACGACAAAAAAAAATTTCCCTGATATCACGGGAAGAAAAACCAAGTGTTTTCTTTTTTTTTTCTTGTGTCACATTGCTGCAAAACAATAAAAAAGAAAAATTCAACCATCTGAGGGGTTGTGGAGCCACCCAGAAAACGCACAGAAAACACATTTTTTCTTACAATTAAAAACAGTAGAAAAGAAAGCCCTAAAGCCCAAATACATCAATTTTCTTTTATATGTAGCAAAGCAAATTAGGAAAAACATAAATTCAAGTACAAATGTGTGTACGCGTATGATTACAGAAGTTATAGCACACAGGTAGGCAGAAAAACGCAGATCATCATTCACGCCAGAGCGTTAGGTGACATGCGAGTACTGAATGAGGAAAAAATACCTACCAAAAAAAAGCCCATTTTCACTGCATACCCACGTTCCTCGGGACGACGCAAACGCAAAAAAAAAAAAAAAAACAATCCCCCACCATGTGTCTCCATTTATACAAAAAAAAAGCAATATGCAAGAAAAACAATTAGCACAAGAAAAACAAAAAAGAAAAACTCATGGAGTCCAGATCATTATATAAATAAGAGAAGCAAAAGGAGTGTGAAGCCCACTTACCTCCCGCCAACAGACGCCCAGAGAGAATATTAGCAGAAATCAGAAGATCCTTTAGCCCATGAAGAAACCGGCAACCGACATCAAAAGGAATAGTGGAACAAGTGTTGAGGCATGAATGCTGCTGCCGTTCGCACCCTTTTTCTGCTTATCCCTCAGGTTTTTCCCGCCGCCGTTGAGAGAGGACCCTGAGCCACCATTGCCCCCTGCCCCGCCGTTCAGGAGTCTTGCCTCGGCGTTCTGCCGCTCACGGGCCCGCCGCTCCTCCTCCTCCAGCTGCCGCGCTCGCCGCGCCGCCTCCTCTTCGGCGGCCTTCCGTTTGGCGGCCGCCTCCTCCTCCTCCTGCCGCAGCTTCTCGAGCCGCTCCCTCAGCTGCACTTCCTTCTGCACAAGTGTCTGCGCCGTCAGCGCCACCTCAAGGGTGGTGTCCCGCGCCGCACCCGCCTGTTCCGCCGCCCTTTCCGCCCGTTTTGCCGCCTCTGCAGCCTGTTTCTCCGCCTCCCCCGCTTTTTCCGCCTCCTCCTCCGCAGTGCTCGTCTTCTTCTTCGCCTCCTCAAGCTGTTTTTCCGCGTCTTGGTTGTTCCTCTTCGAAAGGAAAACATGCTTCAGCGCCTCGTACGCAGCGGTAAGAGCAGCGACCTCTGCAGAATCAGCTGCAATCTCCGCCTTCAGACACGCTTCCTTTGCAATTTCAGCCTCCTTTTGGGCCTGATCAGCCCTCGATATCGCCGTGCTTAGGGAGACAGCTTCTTGACCGAGTTTACGCAGTGTCTCTCCAGCCTCTGCAGAACGGTTTCCAGCCTCCTTTGCATGATTGGCAGCCATTGCACAATGAATGGCAGCTTCCTTGGCCTTCGTATGCGCTTTCTCCATCGCAGTCAAAGCTCGCTCTCGCAGAGATAACTCCACTGTCATCGTTCCATTACCTTTTGCCTTGGCTAATTCTCCAGCTCTTAATAGTATGGGCAGGAAAATCTCCTTTTCATCGACTGCACTTACTGTCGTAATGGTAATACAGGCGCAGAAGAGAAATAATCTCAATATGCACAACGCAGAGAGTAGCTTCAATGTCATCACTACCTTCACTTGAATTCACTGAGCTGCAAAAGAAGAACTAATAAATTGAAAGAAAGGACAAAGAGAGAGAAAAACTCTTTCACACACACACACACAGACGCACACATGCACGGAGGAAATCAGACTAAGCAACATAGAAAGAAAGAAAGGACATATCCACAAAGGATGGTTGAAAAAGCATGTATCAATAAAAATACTGAAGCTTAACACACACAAACCAAGATATCTTCTATTTTTCCTTCTTGATTGTTATTGTTGTTGTTCGTGCTTCCTCACTTTTAAGAGTCTGACACAGATTGGAGATATGTTATAAAATATGACTCCCATAAAGGGAACTATACAAGTACAAACTGGGAGGGGAATAAGACTATAAGTAGTTTTCCTCTTTTTAGTTGAATGATGGGTCTAAGTGACATGCAACGTCTCGCACATACGTTAAGGCAACTCTATTTGCCATAATACTCTTAATAAATTTTATTCGCCTCTAAACGGGGTCTCTTCAACCTTCCATGTTCGCTGTTTTGTTTCACCATTGACATAGTAGAGACGATCACTCTTTGGATCTTTATACTCTTTCCAAACACCCAAAATCCGAAGAGGTCCTTTTTTTGTTTTTGTTGACTCTGGTTCTTCTGAGAATGTTTTTTTTTCCCGCTGTTTCATTTCAAGAACCTCAGGCGGCGGCTTCCATTGGGCCTCCTTTGTGACAATGTTCCTGTAATATACTTTTCCACTCTCTTTATCTCTAAACTCTTTCCAGTTACCATACAAGACACCTCCGGTCTTGGGCTCCCGATTTTCCTCTGCACTTGACAATGTAACAGCACCAGAATTAACGTGATCACCTTCTGTTATGGATTCTGACTTTTTCATATCGTTTTGTCGCGTTAATTCTTCAGTCTGTCGTTCCCGTTCTAGAGCCTCCGTTAATGAGAAACCACCAGCTACAGAGATTGGTTGTTGATTCTCCATTACCTTGTGATGTAGTTCTAAACGACGTCCCTCATTCAAATCTTTATTTCTCTTCGTATCCTCGTCAAGTGAATTCAACAAAGGTAAAATTGCTCTTTCTTTCTCATCGCGGACACCGTGTGTCGTGACGTCTCCAGATATCACATTGTGAGGGATAGGTTCATGCCCTATTTTTTGATCTACTTCTTGTGGCTCGTCATACGACTGTGTAGGTCTCGTTGAGTCCATCTCACTCTTAGGGGACATCATAGGTTGTGTCTTCAGATTATGCCTCTCGTTCAACATCCCACGCATCATGTTAGTTTGCTCATACACCTCACGCGACTCCGATACCACGACAGCAGGACGGTTATGATGCATGAGATCATCATTTGGAGTAGAAACTTTATGTTGCCAAAGTCGTTCGGGAAATTTTGTTTCTTCGCGAGAACAGAGTGTGCGAATACGTTCTTCTTGTGTTCTCAACGATTTAGTGGCCTTTTTCTCTTCTTCTTCTAGAAGCATCAATAGATTATGCATGCCGGCCGCCGTTAACTCCACATCACGCCGAGGTGGACGCATGTCCTCACGTGGGTAAGATTCTGACCGCGGCGGAGATGATGAATGCAAATGCGGATGAGAGTTGGTAGCTGGTGATTGTATGGGTGGCCCGTAGAAAATCGCTTCTCGCATTTCCTCCTCACGTTCTCGGATGCGCCGCAGCGCCTGACTAATCGCATCATCCCTTGGAGCAACTTGTGTAAGCGGTGTAGTACTTGGACTCGTTTCTCTTCTCGATACCCTTCCTGTTACTCCTGTCGATGCTACTATGGGTGTGGTGGTAGTTTGGGAGTTAGAAGACTGTAATACACACCCAACGCTCAGAAGCTGCAGTGATACGGCGATTCCATCTATTATCCTGATGTCATAAGTTTCAAGGAGAATAATACCTGCTGCATGGGTAAAGAAGGCAAACTCGTACGACATCTGGTTCCTCCTTTTAGATGTGTGGCGACGTATTTCTCGTACATCACACCAATTCAATTCACAAAAAAAAACACGGTCCGTGGGTCGATAAACTGAAAGGGACTCTCTGGTGAGACGCACTACGGCAGACTCAAACGGCCTCGCAGTGTATTTGTGCGGATCCTTCAGTGGGTATTTAAAAACAACAATGCTGCTACTGCTGCTGTTGTTGCTACTACCACTACCGCCGCGGCTTCTCTCATGGTGCACGTCCCCACCGAACTCAAATGCTGAGCATGCCGAAAATACGACTCCATTACTGAGAACTTCATGTTCTCTCATTTGCCTAGATCCCTCTATTCTTTTTTTTTTTTATCTTGATCTTTATCGTTCCTTCCTTCCTCCCTTCCCCTCCCTCACTTTTAAATATTCACAAACAAAAGAAAAAGAAAAGTAAATCTCATCAGTATAGTGACATATTACATCCCTCTAACAGCGAGGACGACACAAATAGGCCAAAATATATATAAAAAAAAAAAAAAAAATGAGTAAACAACACCCAAGCAAGTGGTAAGAATTGCAATACAACCCCCATAAAGAGGAATCAATCAAAAACTCATAAACAAAACTAAACTACTTTCTCTTAACATACATATATATATAGACAGATCAACATAGTTCCTTTATTATTGGAGCGAATATAGTGGAGAATTTACTTCTAGACGTGAAGAACGCAACATATTAAGGTAAATACACATACCAACAGCGTTAAGTTCTCTAGTTTCTCCCAGTACTCTACAACTCCCCATATCTACGTGATCCAACATCAATATATTGCCATGCGTATTCATTCCTTGTGGCACCGTTACAACTTCTCCATCCAAATTTGAGTGGGCATTTAGCCCACAAAACCATTCAATTAATGGCGAATTCACATGAGCCGCTGCCCTTCGGATGCCTGACGCAGATTTATCTTGTTCTTTACTAAAAATACCCCCAACCACTGTACTAAAACGCGGCGTAAAAACAGCTTGTGTGACGTAAAGTCTGGGAGGAACACTGTAATTGCAAGGTTGTTTCAGGTCCTTTACCATAAGCATTTTTAAGGCCTTTAGTAGACTTTTCAAAGACTTTTTGTTAACCCATACTGACACCAAAGAATCTGCACGAATACGAGCAAAAGAGTAATTTATTTTAGATTTTCCCAACAGGAGAAAAACACGATGCGTATCTGACGTTTTCCACAGAACTGATAATGGTGTTGTTAATGGTATATCTACTGGTATAAAGTGATTAGACAAAACATTTATTTCCTTAACAAAACGATCCTGAAGATCAGGGCTATCCATATCAAAAAAATGTTGAAAATCCAGTATTAGAAATTCCTGTGCAGAAACTGGGTCCCTGAGAAACGTTCCTATTTGCTCAATCACTACACTCAATGGAACAGAAAGTCTTCCATGCGTTATGTATAGTCTTCCACCTTCCTTTGAGTTTGGTGCAATTCGAAGATCCAAGTAGCGCACTCCCCCAGACAACTGCTCAAGTATGGTGGTATTCTGACACTTTGCCCATTTCACACTGGTCCCACGAACAAAGAATCGTAATAGAGAGGCATATTTTGCATGCCTACTGAGCAATCCAGGGGCATCTCTGCCAAATGGTGACTTTCCATCAATACTATACGTTCCAGCATTGTGAGATCCAATAATAAAAACCTGAGTAATGGCAAAATTTTGAATGTATGAACGCATGTCGTACATCCAACTCTGTGGATGCCACTTTACAGAAATGAAACTCTCGTTATATGGTAGCATAATTGCTACACCGAAAAGAAGATCTTTCTTTTACAGAATCTATAAAACGATATCAAAAAAAAATATTTAAAAAAAAAAAGCAGATGAGATTCAGGACTATGAATCAGTTCGTAAGAGAAATGACACATAAAACAAAACAAATAATGATAAGAATGCAGTCAATTGAACAATAATAATAATAATAACCATAATAATAATAATAATAATAATAATAATAATAATAATAATAATAATAATAAAAGTAGAAATACGTTGGAGTAATTCAGAAGATGAAAGGGAAAAAAAGAAAAAAAAAAACATCGATCTGCATAACCAAAACAAAAGAAAAAAAAATCAAAAGAGAAAAACAGATTTTTTTTTTTCCGTTTGACTTACTCCAATGAAACAAAAAAGGCAACTTTGTGGTTGTTCTTTCGTTTTATACATTCTACCTTTTTCTTTTGGTATTTATGCTGAGGGAGCTGCACGCTTCACGCCGAACATAAGTTTCTTCTGCTGATTGTTGACTGACACTCTTACAGTGCTGTTTGGCGGAAGTTTTTCTGAGAGGATCATGCGGCTTACCTCAGTGATAATATTTTTCTGTACCCAACGTCGCAAAGGACGAGCACCCATATCTGCATCAAAAGCATTTTCCAACACGAAACTCTTTGCCTCATCACTTAACACAACAGTTAAGTTTTGGGACTTTAGTCGTTCATTCACTTCATTAATGATTAGGTCAATAATACCATGTAGTTCTTCAAAGCCAAGCTTGCGGAAGAGGATAATATCGTCGAGACGATTAATAAATTCAGGCCGGAAGTAATTCTTTACCACATGCATAACTTTATCTCGCGTAAGTTCATACGCTGTTGGGGAGGAACCCATATTAACGAGGTGTTCAGATCCAAGGTTAGAAGTCATAATGATAATGGTATTACTGAAATCTACTGTACGGCCTTGTGAATCAGTCAGACGTCCATCATCGAGCACCTGCAATAGTACATTGTACACTGTCGGGTGCGCCTTCTCCACCTCGTCAAAGAGTACCACTGTGTGAGGCCGACGACGTACGGGTTCTGTCAGTTGTCCACCTTCGTCGTGACCAACGTAACCCGGTGGCGCACCAATGAGCCGTGCCACAGCATGCTGTTCCATGTATTCACTCATGTCAATACGCACCATGTGCTTCTCATCATCAAAAAGCTCTGCCGCAACAGCCTTAGCCAACTCTGTTTTACCAACACCAGTTGGACCGAGAAAAAGGAAAGAACCGGTTGGAGAATGTGGACGTGATAGACCTGCACGTGAACGTAGGATAGCTTCAGAAACACGATCCACAGCTTCATCCTGTCCCATTACACGTTTGTGTAAGTGAGCGGCAAGGTTTAGCAGTCGTTCGCGGTCTGTCTGACTTAGTTTCGCAACAGGAATACCTGTCCATCGTGCAACCACTGCAGCAACATCCACTTCTGTCACCTTCTCCTGTACCATAGATGCTTTCTGTTGCTCAATTTGTTCTTTCAAGGAACGAATATTATCTTGAATAAGAGGAATAACATTGTATTTTAGATCTGCTGCAAGCTCCATGTCCCCCATACGTTCAGCACGTTCGAGTTTTGTCTTTTTTTCATCAAGACGAGTTTGCATTTCTTTTAACTCATCAAGTCGTTTGCGTTCCTCATTGTAACGTTCCACCAAGGGTCGGAGACGTTCCTCCACACGTTGAATATCACCCTTGACAAGTTTAAGTCGTTCCCGTGACGCCTCTTCCTTCTTATCCCGCTCAAGCGCTTTTGCCTCAATCTCCAATTGCCGCTTTTTGCGCTCCAATTGATCGATTTCCTCTGGACGAGAAGACAACTGTACACGCACGTTTGCACATGCCTCATCAATGAGATCAATAGCTTTGTCTGGCATAAAACGGCTTGTGATGTAACGGTCAGCCAATTGTGCTGCAACCACAACTGCAGTATCCGTAATTTGAACACCATGATGTGTCTCATACCGTTCTTTTAATCCTCGAAGAATACTGATACATTCTTCCACACTGGGTTCTTTCACTTGCACAGGCATAAATCGCCTCTCAAACGCCGCGTCTTTCTCCACATACTTGCGGTATTCTTCAAGCGTAGTTGCGCCAATTGTACGAAGTTCACCACGAGCCAGCATTGGTTTTAAAAGGTTGGCCGCATCCATTGCACCATCTGTTTTTCCGGCTCCAAGTACGAGATGGATTTCGTCAATAAAGAGGATAATGCTCTCTTGACTTTCCCTTACCTCATTCAAAACACTCTTGAGACGCTCCTCAAACTCTCCACGGTACTTTGCACCGGCGACGAGTGCGCCGAGGTCGAGGGAAAAGATACGCGCAGATGCAAGAGTATCTGGTACATCACCGCGAACAATTTGTTGTGCGATACCCTCCACAATGGCAGTCTTACCAACACCAGGCTCACCAATCAAAACTGGATTATTTTTTGTTCGTCGTGAAAGAACACGAATTGTACGAAGTATTTCATCAGCTCGTCCAATAACCGGATCAAGCTTACCATCCTCTGCCTGCTTGCACAAGTCTGTTGCATACTTGGACAAAGCGTCATAGTTTTGGTCCTGAAACTCCGACGTAATTTTTTTTCCCTTGCGGAGTTCCATGAGCGCCTTTTCCACAGTCTTCTTTGGGGCTCCAGCTGCCTTCAAGATGTCATCCACCTCCCGTGATTCGTAGAGCGCGAGGAGGAGGTGATCGACAGCGAGTAGTGTGTCGCCGAGCGAGACGCGTGCCTGCTCTGCAGTGTTGAGAACGCGTGTCATGTCGGTGTTTGGCCGCGGTTGTGTGGGTGCTGGGTTCTGCGCTGGCAGGGCCTCCACACGGGCGGCGAAGGCTTCAGTGACGGTGCCGGCGCCCACGCGGTTCAGCACGCGGGCGGGGAGACCGTTGGGGTCGGCGAAGAGAACGGCGGCGAGATGGACCGGGGCCAGAAATCCACTCGCGTGGCGGCGGGCCTCCGCGACGGCCGCCTGCAGGGCCGATGAGGCCGCCGCCGTCCATTCCGGTTGTCCTTCTGACATTGTATAGTTATACACAAATAGATATACAGAGAGTGTGAGTGATTGATAGGACTTTTGGTTTCTTTTGCTTGTATATTTTTGTTGCTGGAATCTAACGTTACGTTCATGTATGGATAGAGAGGGTAGACAATAAAAAAAAAAAATAATATATTATTAGAAAAAAAGAGAAAGAGGAAACAGTTATTATAGGACATATGTTCAATAACAAAAAAAAAAAAAAAAAAAAAAAAACATAAATAGCAATACCAAAACATGAATACGGATCAAGTCACACCATTACTTTTTCTTCTTCTCTAGGGTAACATTACAAAAAAAAAAAAAGCAAAAATACGAAAAAAAAAACAAAAAAGAAAAAAACATACAGAAATAAAATAAAATAAAAATTGCATGAGCAAGGCCGAGTTTCCGAACACAACCAACTACCCCTACCCTCTACCTGTCTATGACGAAACATGTTGATTGTCAACGCTATTTTCACCCAGAGAATTTACCTCATTTTCGTTATCTTCAACATATGCAGCTTCATCGCCCTCTATTGCTACGTCGCCGGGATCTACGAATTCGTCAGCATCAGCTGCGTACTCAGCGTCATCATACATTCCTTGTTCATCTCCCCCATATTCTTGTTCCTCGTACTGTTCATTAGCATTATCCTCTTGTGTGTACCCATACCCATCAACTTCTTGAGATGTTGTTGCTCCTCCTTCTCCTTGATCATAACCCTCATATTCTTCTTCTTCACCTTGCCCAGCGGAATACTGTTCCTTCATATCACCGTATCCATTGAGTGTATTCATCTGATCATATCCCTCATATTGCTGCTGGACATCCTGCTTCATATCATTATTTTCTTGTGTGTATTCATATTCATTGGGTGCCGCTTCTGCTTCTGCTTCTGCTTCTCCTTCTCCTCCTGCTTCTCCCTCTCCTTGGTCATAACCTTCATAGTATTGCTGTTCCTGTCCCTGTGTAAAATAATTCTGCGCATATTCGCTTCCGTCTCCCATGACATATTGACTATATCTATTTCCTGCATTGGAAAGAGATGGGTCAACACCTTGAGCTCGCATTTCCTCCTCAATAATAATTCTTCGCTCCTTCTTTTTTGCAGTGTGGCGACCCCGCCACCAGACGTAGCGAGACAAGATAAGTAAGATAAAGACAATACCAATCAGTGAAAACATCCAAAGTCCAGTCGTAGGATCACAATGAGGTATACTTTTGATAGTTGTAGCATACAGTTGGTTTTCATTTTTCGCGTACAGTTGCGCCAAGCGTCCTTGTGAGTAGAGTTCAACACGAGTGGCATGCACAGATAAGTCACGTACTGTTTCTGTGAACTGAAGCACTATTTCAAGTGCATTTTTTACATTCGTAATGTTAATCATTATCGTGTCGTCTGAAAATGCACCTGATACCACATGATCTCCGCACGGAGTCGGTACGTAGCTACAAAATATATCTGTCACACTCTCCTGTAGTCCCTCCACCACAATAGAAGCCATACAATTATTAGATGATGAACAAAGCGGCAGAACTTCCCTGGTACTGTTGGTACCACGACATGGCACTATATACGTACCACCCAACTGTGTTGGCACCACTAATTTCGTACTCAACGCCTCCGAAACTGCTGTTGTGACTGTTTCAAGTAACTCGGAAGTGTTACCCTCCACCCACGCGAGAGCTGCACGACTCGCTTGCAGAGAATCTGCAAAAGATGAGGTATCCGCTTGCGCCTGTAAGGCTAGGCGATCCAGTGCAACTGACCTAAGGAAGGCCCTGCAAAAACCCACACTCATGTCACTAGAAACATTACCACCGGAGAAAAGTGGACAAACAGCAGAGCCAACAACTTTATTGAGTGCGGTTAACTGTGCATCTTCTTGTGGCCATCCAAAAGTCATAAGACTTACATTGACGATATGAACATCAGCTTGAGAAGCGGCACGTTGTGGATACCCGCAAAGCTGTTGCAAAACCACTACAAAGAAAAGTACTTTAAAATGAAGTTGCATCTCCCCTAAACCAAATAAATAAAGAAAAAGAATTTTAAAAATGTTTGGCACTGATTAAAGAAAAAAAAAAATATAATTATAATAATTCTTTTCATTAACGAAAACAAAAGAAAAATATAGTCAAAATATCTTGAACTCAAATGAAAAAAATGTAGTTCCACAGGGCAACAAGTTGAATATAAAACACATAAGCAGACATGAGAAGCTAAAATAAGAAAAAAAAAAGGAATCATGTCTTAACCCTATACATAAAAGTGCGTATAGCCATAGAAGAGTAATTTAGTGACGGTTCCGTTCATACGGCAATGGAGGGAGTGCCTCAACAGCACGACGATTCAGTTCACTCGTCACATAATTGGCATACGCCTCCTGATTTACAGTCAGACCAACCGCCACCTGAGGTGATCTCAGGCCCTCCGCTCCAACATCCCAAACAGGTTCCTGCTGTTTCTCTTGCTGTTGTTGTTGTTGTTGTTGTTGCTCTTGAAGATCTCTCTGTTTCCTTTTCTCTCGGTGGTTTGTTGAGGGTGAGGAAGGCGATCTTGTGGTGCACTTCTTCGACCGACCTGATGGTGTAACTAATGCCCTTTGTGGCTCGTCACTGGTGAGCAATTCACCCGCACGCACACGTCGCGGGTCGACAGCCTCTTCAAGTACAAGAAGATTAGGTGACACAACTGGCGACCGGAGGCCAGCCGCAGCAACGGCACTACAACTCCCGCTATTCCCTTCCCTCCGTTGTTGTGTGTCAACTACTGCCCGTAAAATGCGACGAAATTCCCTTCGTTCAGCCTCGTAGATTGACAATCGTTCCTCCAAATTAGTGATACGCTCGAGGAATCTCTTCTCGAGGTTTTGCACATATGTCTCATCGGCCTTCTGTGACACAGCGAGGTTATCTGCCTTGTCCCTCAGCGTCGCAACTAACTCGCTACGTTGTACATAATTGCGATCAATTCCCTTCAGTCGTCGTTCTGCCTCCCCTGAGACAGCAACACTGTTGTTGGTATTGCTATTGGTAATACTGACGGTATTATTATTATTATTGTTGTTGTTGTTACCGTTGCGACACACATCCCGATGCAGTTCTTCTCGCAACGCCACCATGGTGTTTCCTAGCGCCATGGACTGTTGATCCTTCGCCTCTGCCAACCTATCTGCGAGGTCTCGCAGAAGCAAACGCCTGAACTCAACGAAGAGTGGGGCACTATGCATCGCCTCGTGCAGTTCCCGCTGTGTCTTTGCCATCTCAGCACTTCGTCGTATGCTTGCAACGCTGCTACGAGTTTTTCCGTTCTTGTCCTTGTTCTCTTCGTTGCTACTGTTAGTATTCCCCCTGTTGGTGCTGCTATCATCTTCCACCTGCTCGTCCTCGTCCCCATCATCATATGGCGCAGGTCGCAGCCATGTGGTAATGCGCTCCAATTCATCCATATGCCGCCTCTGTGACTCTTCAAGTCTAGCACACATTAACTCAAGCCGTTTACGTGCCTCCAGGTTTTGCTGCCGGGCCTTTCGCTCTTCATCCTCCTCTTTGCGGAGACGGTAGGCACGGTCTTTGTTAATCTTCTCAACGAGACCCTGTAGCGTTCGTACAGATCCACCCATTTGCCTCTCATTAAGACTTCCTACAGACGCATTACCAGCTCCACTACCAGTAATAGGAACAAAATTATTTGAGTTCACATCATCACGTAGAAACTCAGGAAGCAATGATTCTAGGGAGAAACCCTCAGGAAATGAAACGTCAGCCTCGGCGATCTTTTCCTCTAGAGTTGATAGCGCTTGCTGTCGCAGAAAAGCACGCATTTGGCTAATGGAACTAGCACCTGCTCTCACATCTCCTTGAAGGGCGGCAAGGTTACCTTGGATAGCGTTGAGTTTATCTTGAAGCTGATTACTTAAGTTCCGCAGGTACGCCTCTAGTGGAAACGTCTGCACAAGAATCGTAGGAAGCGTCGGGAGGTCCGCACCTTGAAAGCTCATCACTTACCAGTTCAGCTTTTGTTGAACAAACCTTCACTTACAAAGGGGGAAAAAAGAACGAAAAGAGAAAACGAGAGAACGAGAGAACGAAAAAAAAAAGCATGTCACATGACCTTCCCAACATCATATAGCAGAAATAGTAAGAAGATACGGCGGTGTAAAGGATAATAATAATAATAATAATAATAATAAAACAAGAGTAAAACCAAATTGCGGATAGGAGCACATACATACACTCACACCAAAAGAAAAAAAAGGAACACATATTTGTGAGATCCCAAAAAGGTAAGGAGTGAGATGAGTGCAAGTTCACAAAATACAACCATCCATGCATGTGCACTAGCTGCAGTAAGATTTGCATAGATGAAGTCCAAAAATGTAATCACTTGTCTGTAAAAGAAAAAAAAAGAAAAAAACAAGAAAGCAAATGTCAATCTGGATGAAGAATCTTCGCCTCCTTCTCTCGCCTGTATTCTAGCATCTCTTCGCGCACCACCTGAATGTAATCCTCACTACGTGGTAGCAAAATACGGCGTATAGAACGCAGTGTGTCAATACTAGTTGGGCTTGCAGCATATGAAAGTCGGGCAAAGTCTTCCTGCTGAAGAGGCGTCAGTACAGCAGCATCTTCTCCTTCAACTCCGCGTATTTTTCGCCAAATAGCAGCAACCATGCTATATGACCCTGTTTTTGACGCTGTCGCCGTATCATGCAGACGCTTCATCTCGTGCTGCATCTCGCGTTGCTGGAGAGAGGCCAAGTAACCCTGCTCGTTTGTGGTATCCATTGGGTGGTAAACAACACTGTGGGAACCATTTCCAGATAAATTTTCTTGCTGATGATGTTGCTTCTCTTGTTGTCCATGTTGTTGATGATACAATTGTCGCTCATTCCCTGAGTTATGCGCACCAAGAGCCTCACCCAATGCTATGGTAAGATCCTTTTCTGTACTTTCATTATTGTTACTATCGCTCACAATCTTGTTATTGTTACGATTACTATTATTATTATCATTATTACTGTTGCTACTATCGCTGTTGTTCCTTTCCACCACTTTCTGCTCTGTGATCTGTGCTGTTTTTGCATCTAACAGACGTCGCTTCTCACGACGCACAGCCTCCACAATGGGGCGGAAGTCCGGCTTATGTGACTGCAGCTCCTCACGCGCCCGGTGAAGGTCGCGATGAAAGTCCGCCTCAAGTCCGTCCAGCGTCGCCTCCGTCGCCTCCACAAAATCGTCATAGTGCCCAGCAAGCAACTTCAGTTCGTAGTACTGTTGCAGGCACTCCATCAGCACCCATGCGGTGAGCGCCTTAAGCACAAAGGTACCATAGTAATAGAAGTTATCAGTGCGCTCCCACGCGGTGTAGGTACTAATCACCTGCTTCAGTTTTGTCACATTACGCTCAAACTCACCACGAGTGTTACCAAATAGCATCGCATCCTTTTCAAAATCAAGATCCACAAGTAGAAAGTGTTCACGGTGACTCATTGTGGTTCCCTCAAAACTCTTCATGTATTCAAGGCGTTTCTTCATCAGTTGATCTTTGCGAAGTGTTGGGTCGATAGGCATTCCATTTTCGTCGTACTTAGGAACAATACTACTCTCACCACCGAACGGTTGCAGTTTTCGTGGGCGCAAAAATCCTAGCCGCTTATCTTCCTTCGCGCCAAAGCCAGCCCCAAGTCCCACACCTGTCGTACCGTACGGTGTTACCTGAGAAGTGAAGTCACGTGTTGAGCGCTGGTACACGTCGAACTCCGTCTTTTCACGCTCCACGGGAGGGAGATTGCACACTGGCACACCGCCGCTGATGCATTCTGGTCTGGTAAGATGTGTTTCCATATACACTTTCGAATCGGGGGTGTCACGTCGCATGAAGCCACGCTCCAGTGCCTCTACTTCAAGCTCTCGACTCCGCGTTTCATCAAGTGGTGAATCGGACTCCTGCTGTTGTGGTTTTTGTTCTTGATGTTGCCTCCCAGCACGATGCAATACACTAGATGCAAAAAGACCAGCTCGTCGCATAATCCTATATGTATGTTTGTGATTTGCTTTTTGCTAGTGGAGTTGGATACTTTCCGCTTACTGGAACCCCAGTTAACCTGCACGCTCATGCATACATGGTAGCAGAGAGAAGTATTTTTTGATTAAAAAAACAAAGAAAAGTAAATGAATAAAAGAAAAAAAAATTTATCATTATTTTTTGTCGTTCTCTCACTTTTAAGCATTGTTAACAGAGAAACTCATATATATATATATATATATATTTATTAATGAATCACGGCAGGAATGAAACCTGACGAGACACAAAATAAGCGAAAAAGAAGAAAAAAGGAAACAACGTGTTGTCCTTTACGCAACCATGGCAGAGGCCGTGCTGGACTCATACTTCCACGTGGGTGGCAGCTGCTTCACACGCTTGTAGTAACGAGCCAGGCGGTGAATGCGGGACTCAACAAGAATAAGGCGGAACTTTGTGTCCCTGTCCTTTGTGTGGCGCTCCAGGTGCTTCCGCATCTCCGTCGCACGCTTGATGAGACAGTAGAGGTCCTCTGGGATCTCCGGGGCCATTCCCTTGTGCTTGAGAATACGCAGAATCTTGCGGCCCGTGACGTTCTTCACCTGGGCGATACCCATGGAGTCTCGCAGCTGCATGCCGATCTTACTGGGGGAGAGACCCTTCTTGGCGAGCTTGCACACCGTCTCGACGACATCGCGGCTGGCGATCTTCAGCCACGACGGTGGTGTGCGGCGGAATGGGAGGGATGAGGCGGCTTTGCCGTGACCATTACCATGCATGCGGACCATTTTGGAGTGGTGTTGCGACTCTACGGACTACACTGTGTATACGCAGACGTTTGTGGTGGTTGTATGTTAAATTTGAGTGGTGGGGGAAAGAGAAACACAATAAAAATAAAAAGGAAGAGAAAGAGAGAAAGATAAAAATACAGAAATAAAAAAAGCATTAGGACAGGTAGAGAGTGAAATAGAGAAGCTGATAAGAGAAAAAAAAAAAAGAGAGATAAGAACCCAATTCAATATTTTTTTTGTTGTTGTTGTCGCTGCTGTAAAATAAATACAAGGATATGCAAACAGGCAATAATAGTAAGGTATCACGACCCATCCACAAAACCTACAGCGACATTCACTTGATTTCCATAACCACCATCTGACATCCTTTGAAGCAGCAACTTCGCACCCTCCGTGGGGCTCAATGAGAGGAGCTTATCAACACCAGCATCGTGAACACTACAACAAGCGAGTGATTCGAATCGTCGTGTAAGAGAGAGTGACAATAATATGTCTGAATCCAACAATTTCGTCTTTGAAGAGCGTTGCCATCTGTGAAGCATTAGTACAAGTCCAAGTGCAATGCACTGTATAATGCTACACCCCATCATACGTTTCTTTGGAAGAGATTTTACGTGCAGGCTTGGTAAGTAATACACGTTGCAACTGTGTATATCTACTGTTAATCTATCACCCCCCTCGGCGTGAGCTGCGAAGGCGTAGCAGAGAATTCGATGCCATGCTGCAAGGAAATACAACCCGGTGAAGTGATCTGCAAATGGTGCGACAGAACTCCAAATACCGAACATTGTTCCCCACGCCATTGTATACGGTTGTGTTGTTGTGAGGCCCGTTATGATAATACTCAGCTGCTGCGGTCTTCGGATGCAAAAAAGCGCAGGCAAGAGACAACAGCCGGTGTAATTCATTCCCTTTGCAACAGCAGGATCCACAGTGCCAAAGACAAGAGACACCGCTTCCGTTATATCAGAATCAAGAAGTGTTGGGCATACAAGGGCTACAGAACTCATTGCAGCAACAACAGTCGATAACGTCGTACAGCTATGACGCTCATGTACTGATGAACGTAAAACCTCCATAAGCGCAGGACCGATCTGTTCGCACATTGCCCCTGCATAGCCACACGACACGGCAGCTGCTAAACTGGTTGAGACAAGACGTGTTGTAGCCTCATCATGCGGTGCATCCACTACACTAAAGTGTACTACAGCAGGAAGAGATTGCTGCATCACTGATGTCACACAGTTGGTACAACACATCTGCTGCACCGTCGCTTTTGACAAGCGCATGACGTAGTCTGTGAGAGAGCGCAATAACAGTGCATAGGGAGGGGTGTTAGGCTGACCACAGTGTGAAATGACGAGGTGAAGCAACTCTGTGGCCAGCGCACAATTACCGGAGACGTGTTCGCAGAGGCAAAACAATAGTCCGGTGAGGAGAGATGCGGCATCCGGGACCGCCGCACAATGCCGACACGCGTTATCCACAGCGGCAAGTACCAATGATGCGTGTATTTGTAATTGCGGTAGCACAACTTCACGTGGTGAAGATTCTAACATGATACGCATTAGTGTACATACGGCGTGGGCACCACTATACACCGCAAGTGGTCCACCACGCGATGCAATGGCGAGTGCACGTTGCAGCCACACCGCCGTATCGCAAAACTCACTGATGGCGTTGGATGTGCAGCACTTGGAGAGTAATCGGTGCACGGCATAGATCACAACAGCACGTAATGCCTCACCCTCGACCGCGTCCGGTTCTGTCATAGTACTACTAGTACTACTAATAATAGTACTTCCGGTATTGAACACAGTCTCGAGGATGGAGAGGAATCCTCGGCAGAGAGAGGTCTGCGGTGTCCTTGCAAGACAGAGAGCGAGAAGATCAACAAGCTCCGCAGCTGTTACAATATCATTGCACTGATGCAACAACTCTGCGAGTGATCCCAAAAGTTTACCCGCTGCATCTGGCAGACTGTCGGTTAGTGACACTTCCTTCTCTTCACATACGCGGCAAAGACAACGCAGTGCTGTTATCCAGGCACGCCAGTGCGGCGAGTGAGTCCCTTGCTGCAGTCCGTCAACACAGTTACAGAGGGAAATCAGCAGCTGCGCTAATTGCTCCTGTGGACTTGCATCTACTAATAGTTCAAGCACAGCGCCAGCGTTGGATGCGGTATCGCCGCCAGCGCAGCCCAGCGGTACAACATAGTCATCCTGAAGCAACGTCAAGAGTGCCATCTCACTACCCCGCTCAAGAGCAGTAGAGGTGGTAGTGGTCGCGCGTGTCATGTAACAGAAAAGTGTTGAGAGCAGTTTGTTGATGTCAAACTGTGAGGAAACCTCGGGAAAGGTCTGCACTACGGCAGCCAAGCACTCAAGCCCACTATCAACACAACCGACCAAAGGTGTAATTTCATCATATGAAGCAGCAACATACGCAGACTCACAGTACTGTAGTAACCGAATGCTGGAATGAAACACAAGGGAAGCAAAATCGGCATCATGAATCAAATTCTGTGCAATATTTAGCAGTAATCCACACTCCTCAACAATAGAATCAGAGAGATCGCTTTTTTCAAAAGCCGTTAATCGTTCCTCTAGATTGCATCCAATGAAGTGCCGAAAAGAACTGGAAAAAATAAAAGAATTAGTTGGCCGTTCCCCTTCTGTAGTTTCAGCAAGACGCGGTCGCCGTTTCATCAGATATAGAACTACACGAAGGCAAAACACTCGCGGTTGATCTCGACCAGAGAAAACTGCACTCTCTAAAAGACGACGGACAACATCATTCGCTAATTGCCACCATAACATCCTGTTAGAACTGCCAAACTCTGACAATCGCAGAACTACCCCGTGCCACATTAACATATATTCCTTTCCCTGCTGCTGCTGCTGCTGCTCCTGTTGCTTTTCACATCCCATTATCGCATTCACGCACTCCTCCAGGAATAACTCCCAGTGTGTTCCTGGGTACTCAAAAATGATAATTCGACAGAACGAAGATAATAGTGAAGCATGTACTCGTCCCTCAATTGCTGGTATAGAAGCAGTAGTAGTAGTAGTAGTGGTAGCAATATCACGACGCAGAAATGCTAGTAGTGTGCTAACTACGTTGGTCTTATCACTAAATCTACTCCCTCCGCACCAGATGCGCTGCGTTACCAGCGACTCGAGTGCCAGTGCTGCTGACAACCGCAACCCATATGAAAAATTGTCGTACGCCACCGCCAACTGCGTTAACACATCGCCAATGTTCAGCGCCGAGTCGTGAAGCTCAATAAACCGCAGGTCTGCTGCCTTGCGTTCATCCTCAGCAATGTCGGGGCGCAGCCTACTGACGTTTATCAAGTAGGCTACTTCCTCTGTTGTACACCAACTCATCCCACACGGAAACTAAAAACACTGTCCCCAGAGTTGTTTACAAAACAAATAAATGCAGCATCAAAAAATCAAGAAGAAAAAAAGAAGTAATTTGAAGTTTTGACATAGTCCAGGAAAAAAAAACAAATGATAAATGCATAAATAACAAAAAGAAAAAATGTTATTACGTTCTTTGTTTGGTAATTTGTACAACTCAACCAGCAATATATATATATATATATGTATACAAGCATTGTTATAGAAAGTGAAGCGTCAATTATACACCTTAAATTTCAGTACTCGCAGAGATCCCTCCAGCTCAATGGTAAAAACACTATCCAAGGTTACAGTCTCTAGTGGCATTGGTTTGGCACGCAACAATGCGATAAGGCCCCAGATCTCTAAGGTTGGCACGTAGATGCTCAAGTTCTTTGGCCACAAGGTGCACGACATAACCTTCTCCTCTTCCACTGCGAGCGGCCGTCCAACTGATGAACTCCGTCGGGACCACAACATAGCATTTGTCTCCCAATCTGTCACACGAACTTGTGTCAATGAACCTAATGCAAAAAGAAATGATGTACATTGCCAAGTACCGTGTTTTTGTTGGTTCTGCTTTTTCTGCTCTTCTTCAACATGTTCCTGCAACAAACCATTCTGAGTGTGGGTAGAGCCGTACACAACTTGTGTTGTTGCGAAGTGTGTGGGATTGTCGAGATACTTCGACACAAGAGAATGGGTGTATACATGTCTCTCGACTGCAGATTGTAGTACATCCTCTAAAGTCTTATGAAATAAGACACGAATATCGTGATTCGCTTCTTGTGTTGAGAATGTTCCGTGTACCCTGAATCCACCTCCTGACCACTCACGGTATAAATTTTTCTTTCTGTGCATTACTACACTAACAGTATCAATCCCATGTGCCGTTCGCTTCTTCGCATAGCGAGGGTTCATATCAGCCACAATAACAGCAATAAATTTTCCAAAACCACACTGTCGAACCTTTTTTACCATTCCATCTTTCTTCCAACCTCCCTTACCACTATACAGCACCCATAGGTTCTCCAAAAACCGGTCAAACTCCTTCGGTGGGCTTCCCCAGTCAAATTCTGCAAGGTCCAGCACCAAGAAACTTTTCTCAATATCATGTAGAATAGCCCGTCGATACATGTGTGCATCCTTCCAGATGATAAACAGTTGAACATCTAAATTTTCCCCAATATTTTGATTACCATTAAGGATTTCCTGCGCTCTTAAAAGGAACATATCATTTAACGAGGATTGATCATGTAGTTGCTGCTTATATTGTTCTTGATCTTTGTGCTCAGCTTTTTCCTTTTCACCATTGACCTCATGTTCCGGCTCTCCGTTGGTCGTACCTTTACGGTTTGACACCTCGTTATGCCATACCAGTACAATCACCAGAAACAGCAGTAGCACCGATAACACGGGACGAATGGAGACAGCGCAGTACCTTCGCCGGCGCAGTCGTCTCCTCATCGGCAAATCCCTGCACCGGCTGAAAATAATAATAATAATAATAATAATAATAATAATAAAGCGAAAGGGAATAGAAAGGAAAACAGAAAAAAAAAAAAAACATTCATTACAACATAGCCACTACAGGTGATCACAGCCACATCGCTTCTAATCACAATTCTCTTCTTGGTACTTCCTGTTCTTCTTCTTATATATATATATATAACTTCTCACAAACTTCTAGAACTACTGCCTTCCAGGGAAGTTTGCCAAGATTTTCTCTCCATCCTTTACAAGTGGAGCAATCTTCCGAATCGTTTTTTTCATATCAAGTGGAGCATCTTCAGTCACATCGGGCATCACTCGCTCAAGGTTGGCATTGCCATCATAATCCATGCCCTTTAGTCGCGCCTTATAGAAACGTGCCTTCGCATCTACACGGTCCCATGTTCCTTCCACATCACCCGCATCAAAGCCGTCATTGGTGTCATCCTGAATATCCTTTTGACCACCAAGTACCTTTTGCTTTAACCACATATCATTAATTGGTTGACCAGTATCCTGCAGTGCTTTCATCTCCTTCAGAACAGAATGTACGTTATGAAATTGTTTTTTATAACTGTTGTAGTCATTTTCAATAGTGTTCATAGTGGTCTTTGAATTGCTTTTGTGCAGTGATGGTACCCCACCTCCGCCAGTCACGTAATCACCACCAAGTGGACCCATCCCGGTCGTTTCTTGAGACGATACCGCCGTGATGTCCATCTGTGGTGAGATAGAGGTTTCTTCCTTTACCTCTACTTCAGCTGAAAAATTTGTTTCATGTATATTTGATGTTTCATTCTTTGTTTTCTCTTCCATATGTCGAATTGATTGCTCAACACGGTCTTGCAACATCCTTGCGTCTAATAATTGTGGTGTGAACTTCCATAATTGCACGCTAAGCCGTAAATCCGGCTCCACTACCCGGCGTACACCTGATGGACTAACAAAAGTATGTTTACTCTTTGGTTGTTCACCAAATCGCCACCCCCAACGCAGTTCACCTGAACAACACATTAATGACCGTTGCGGTAGCAACACTTGTCCGCAGCGCCCAGTTGCCTCATCATCAAATGATAGCACAGTGTCGGAGAGTAACGATAGATACAGAAAACAGCATCCAACTGTTGGGTGCTCTATATGCATCTCATAACCTGGGATATTGTGCTCCACTACCCGTGCTGTGTCTGGCATAACACCCAGAAGCACTGGCGCTAAATCACGCAGCGACGACATAAGCGTCTCTGACCAAACGAGACCTGGGAGTCGCCGTACTTCTTTCCGCTGCCAACTCTTAACTTCAGTGAACTGCTGCTCTCCGTGCATCTCTAGATATGTGTGCTTTACAATTTTGTTTTGCGGGGATGACAACTCTGAGAACGCCTTCTGTCCTTCACGTTCTAGTATAAGATTAAGTTCATCCCAAATGCGCCCCTCATCACGACTGCTAACAGCGTTACGGTACACGTTTACGCAACCCACTCCGGCGGGAAGAGATACTAAAGAGGGGTCCGGTATAAGCCGAGAAGAGCAGCAACAACAACGTTGCGTCAATCTCCACATCTCAAATGGAGCACAACTAAGGAAATAAAAGAAGGTAAAGAAAAAAACATGTACTCAAGATTGCAAAGAAACAAAAAGAAAAAAAAATTACAGCATTTTTCATCGGTGTTATAGTCAATGCATTACCGCTCCAAAACCCAAACGGCACAAAAGCAACAGTAATAAAGCAATTTCAAGTACAGCGAGGGTGTAAAAGTCAAATCAGTCTTGTAATAATAGTTTACATATCTGTGAGTTCTCCTTTTATTCACTATTCGCCAAAAAAAAAAGTAGGCCCACAACATGGAAGAATTCGAGCATTCAAAAAAAAAAAAAAAAAGACTAAATAGAATATAAAGAAGGAAAGACCTATATGCTCAGCAACGAAGAAACAATCGGGAAAAAAAGATTATCATGTGCGGTCTGTGAAAAACCAGATATCAAGAAAATAGGAGTTAACTCCATCCTTTTTTTTTTCTCTTTCTGTTTATCCACACACTCATGGATACCACATAGTGCTAACGTTCAAGCCAACCACATTGAGTTCGTTGTGAACGTAAATTCTGTAACAGCTTCACCGGTTGGCGAAGCAGACGATCTGCCTCCTCTAAATCCCGCAACAGCTGTGAAAGGCTAGCTAACCTCCCACCGGATACCCAAATGTCTGTACCGGACGTGTCCGATGAGTTGGACACGCTCATTTCACACACCTCAATACAGTATGACTCTTCCGGCACATCAGACGAAGCAGAGCGATCAGCATGGTGCAACCCCACAGTACTGGGTAGTTGTTCCGTATTTTCCTGTTCTCTTTCCCTTTCTACCACCTCTATTGGCTGCGCTGCGATTGGCCCCGTGGAAGACGCCATCTCATTATCTATACCGCTTGTGCTCACACGCGAACTGGCGCTCGTAGCTTGCGCGTGATTTTCACTTTCTACAAAACTTAGCATTAACTCATTTGGGGATTTCTCCGGAATTGATTGTCCTCGATCCCTCAATAAATCCGTGTTGTCTTCCGGAAGCAGTTGCCGGCAGTCTGTACCCGTCCTGCTACGTGCTGCAACTCTTGAAATGATTCTGGCACTGTCGTCCAACTGTTGCCCAGCTGAAACATTCAACCATCTCTCCGCAGGATCACTATCGTCAGAAACCAATGGCACTGTAGAAACAATCCAGTTATTACCACCAACAGATGAAACGGGATTGTCCCTTTCGCTTACTTTAGAATGATTACTATCAGTAAAAATGGACTCAGAAGAACTTGTTCTCCTTGAACTAAAAGAGTTATTAACTCGTGATTCATGCGGGGATTTTGAAGAAGAAGCATAAATACATGGACGAGACACATTAGACGCACCCATGTCTGTTTCTATGAAATCTAATAAAGCGTCGTCATTATCTTTTTCTCTTATCTCACTCATTGGGAAAGGTGCAAGTATATCTTTACCACTTACACCTTCTGTAGATAATATACCTCTATCTGACCAAGCCTCTGTAACAATACGACGAGGAAGACTCCAATCATCATCATCATCCCTTACTCTCACAGGACCTGTAGTACCTTTTCCAGACATAACACTTCGAGGAAGACTCCGATCATCCATCCTATCATCATTATCTCTTACCCTCACAGGACTTGTAGTACATTTTGCAGCTGTAACACGACGAGGAAGACTCCAATCATCCATACTATCATCATTATCTCTTACTCTCACACGACTTGTAGTACCTTTTGCGGACATAACACTTCGAGGAAGACTCCGATCATCCATACTATCATCATCATCACCACTATTATCCCTTACTCTCACAGGACTTGTAGTACCTTTTGCGGACATAACACTTCGAGGAAGACTCCGATCATCCATTCTATCATCATCACCACTATTATCCCTTACCCTCACAGGACTTGTAGTACCCTTTGCAGCTGTAACACGACGAGGAAGACTCCAATCATCCATACTATCACCACCATCATTATTATCCCTTACCCTCACAGGACTTGTAGTACCTTTTGCAGCTGCAACACGACGAGGAAGACTCCAATCATCCATACTATCATCCATCCTATCATCATTATCTCTTACTCTCACAGGACTTGTAGTACCTTTTGCGGACATAACACTTCGAGGAAGACTCCGATCATCCATTCTATCATCATCACCACTATTATCCCTTACCCTCACAGGACTTGTAGTACCTTTTGCAGCTGTAACACGACGAGGAAGACTCCAATCATCCATACTATCACCATCTTCCAAACATTTTGACCCCACATTTGGCACAGTAGAAAAAAGAAACACATGGTCCGCTTCAATATTATTAACAGCTGGACCATCACAAACATCACAACTGCACTCTTCATTACCAAAACTCCCCTTGTGTTTCACTGGATCAGACACCAGCCTTTGGTCTCCCACCATCGTCATCTCACAGAAGGGTACTGACGCCATAGAACCTTGTGATGGCGACCGTTCATAATCTGTCCGATAATGAGTTTGCACAGGATAGGAGCTTATGCTGCGGTTGTCCACCATCACTGCCTCACGTGGTGGTAGTGAGGCAATTGACTCCTGGGCCAGTGACCGTTCAT